ATGATGCGATTTAAATTTTTCCTTTCTCTTTGGAGTGTTACAAGCTCTTGGTGCATAAAGAAAATTTATAAAGTTGCAAAGACTAAAGTCTCAAATCCAAAGAGATATTCTTTATAAAAGTTAAGAGTCAACCACGCCTACCTAAAACGGTTCGTTCTAACACGCCCCCACATGTCTACATCACTATGTGGGAAGATTTGCATAATGCCGCCCAAATGTTCACGCAAAGAAAGAAGGCATAACTTTTATTCTTGCTGTAGTATTGTTGTTGCCGCCGCCATGTCGTGAAGGTGCCGTTTCTCGTTGTGAAAGCAAAACTACTTTGTTTGGTCTTCCAAAAGAGGACGATATCTGCTTCGTCATGCCTGGAGCTGATCCGTGCTGGTTGCTGAGGATATACTACAACTTTGCTCTGTCGATCGCCGGATCAGCTTTCACCGTGGACTAAGCGGAGTCCAGCCCGGGGTATAGTCACATGTGGTTGACGCTGTGTTTCGTTGTGAAAGCGAAACTACTTTGTTTGGCCTTCCAAAAATGGACACGACTAGAAATCAGTGGTTAAGTTGTATTTACAACACTGTTCCAGAACACTTCAACCCAAATATTCAGATGTTTCAGAAAGGCGGGGCATAGAGGAGAAATAGTAAATGTACAGTATGTGGAAAATAATGTGTTTTTTTAACCTTAAACCGCATAAACACATTTCATTAGACCAAATACACAAAATAATGTTCTTTTTAGCAGCATCATATGACCCCTTTAAGTAAAGATCATGTTCCATGAAGATATTTTGTAAATTTCCTACTGTAAATATATCAAAACTTAATTTTTGATTAGTAATATGCATTGCTAAGAACTTCATTTGGACAACTTTAAAGGTGATTTTCTCAGTGTTTTGATTTTTTTGCACCCTCAGATTCCAGATTTTCAAATAGTTGTATCTCGGGCCAAATACTGTCCTATCCTAACAAACCATTCATCAATTGAAAGCTTATTTATTCAGCTTTCAGATGATGAATAAATCTAAATTTTAAAAAATTAGGTTTTGTGGTCCAGGGTCACAAATATGGCACATACATATTGTGCACACCTACTTCAGTGAAAAGAGATCAAAAAAAGATATTCATACTTATTCCTGCTGGAACAAATTCCTCTTGGATTTATATTTTGACCACTGCTCTTGGTAAAGCCTAGGATTTATTTCTAGACTTAACGATACACATTACATACAATCACTGTGGCCTTATTACCAAACTAACCGGCAGTACATTACCATATACTGAGAAACTTCTGCATTCCCTCACTTCCTTTTTTTGCCAGCAAATCAAAGACATATGACTCCTGCAAAATTTACATGCATGAAACCCTAAAGCATTTACCTAAAAGGCTATTTAAAAAATAAACGTGATGTCTTTCTGTAATTCCAGCCAAATACTTCATGTAGGCCTAATGAAAAAATCATTTGAACACAGCCGCACAAATGCATTGCCCCCGCTAATTAAAAACATATCAGGTCCAGAGGCAATGGAACATACGTTGAGCTGGGTGGAGAGTGGAGGGTGTTTCTGCGGTTTAACAATATCAATCTGTCAGAGTCTTTCATTTGTCATGTTAAAGCTTGTTAAAAGTAGTACCCTTTAACAACATTCAAAAATTAAAATGCTATGCAAAGCCCTCCGAATGCTAAACAAACTGTTAGATGCGAGTCAAAAGGAGGAAAGGAAGAAGATACTGCAAAACAATCTCAAAGAGAGGCACATTTCCTTTCAGAACACTCCTGGGGATGTTTCTCATTTTTATACCTCACCTGAACATCTAAAGCGCTGAGGTTTTGGACAGAACAGGGTTACTGCACCATCAACAGATGTCAAGGTTTGTCTCAGACAGTTGAGAGAAAACTGGGTCAACTTCTAGGGGTAGATTTCCACAATTTTCAATCTCTTTGCGAGAGGAGTGCCAGCAGTGAACACAGTGCAGTTGAGCACATCAGAGCAGTGGAGCACAATGTATGCTTGAGCATTTTACAGAGGCTAAATCAGGCTGTGTAAATCCTCCTCCTGCTCCTCCATGCCTGCTTAGAATTTAAGCTTTAGCACCGAGAGAGGAAAAACATGTTGTACAAATGCAGAAATTCACATTAAGTAAATGATAGTTCAGACTCCGATTCAATTTGGATGACCTGCATTCAAAGGTGTGGTTAAAATGCCATTTGAAATTAATGTGCATGTTGTATCACAGCTGTAAACAGGCAATATAAGAATAATTGTTTATTCTGATTGTGATTATTTACAAACTATTGATATTGCCGTTTTAATTAATCTTTTAGCCTAAGTTTTATAAAAGTAATAGGATGTTCACAGTAAATGCATTTACATCAGTGTTTCTCAGCCAGGGGCTTCAGGAAACATCTAAGGGGGCATGCAGATGACTTACAATTATTTAATAAGAAATAAGAAAAAACAACCAATAACAAACCAAAGCATCTCAAAATCAAAATTTCTTGTATAATTCACTTCAAGAATTTTTTTTTTTCAAAGGTCTCATGGTCTTAAAAAAATTGACATTTTAGTCATGTAAAAGTCATGACAATTAATAAAAATCAAGGCCTTTTTTAGGAAATGCATGCCCATTTTTCTAGTTATGCTAAGCTCCAAAATATTTTTATTAGGTAGAGTAATTGAGAGTAAAAAAAAATAAAAAAAATTGTCTTATTCTTAACCAGTAAATTACAAACAACTAGAAAAATCATGGGGCCTTTGAATATAACAATGCGGGTCCTGAAGTATAAAAGTTGAGAACCACTGACCCAAACATTAAAAGGTCCACACAAACATTAACGGTCCACACTAAAAATCACACCAATCCAAGATTCTGTTAGTATTTACTCACCCTCACATCATTCAAAACCTGTGTCACTTACTTTCGTCTATAGATCACAAAATTGGATTTTGTTTCACCAAACAATTTGGTTACCATTGACTTCCACTGAATGGACAAAAACACTGAGACATTTCACAAAATATCTTCTTTTATGTTCCACATATGTCGTCAGTCATGCAGGTTTGGAATGATACAAGGCTGATTAAATGATAGAATTTTTATTTTTGAGTGGACTATCAAATTGGACTAACAAAAACTGAAAATTTGACAGATGTGGCAACATGCATCCAACCCTTCACATATTCGATAGTACATTGCATAATGAATGTGTGGACAATAACACTCGCAGCTTGACTGCACAAAAAGCTGCTGTAGCTTGATTATAACGGCACATGTAAAAGTTAAAAGTGATTTTACCATGGTAAAAGCCTATGAACACCTCAAACCTGGAGTGGCTTATTGCTTTGATATGTCATTGTGAAAGCACCTGTCGATATTTGCTTTTAAATCAAGGATGGAAAGCTTTGTAATCTTCAGCAGAGGCTGTTCAAAGGCCCACATGCACCACTTTCTATTCCAGCAGGACAAGGATTAAAGTATTTAGCAGTCACATCTCTAAATCCCATTTTGCTCATATGGAGGGACTCGAGGCTCTGATGCATCAAGTGATTTGCTGTAAATTTCACAGCACGGCTTAAAAAGCATGTCTCTCCAGATTAAGCGATGTGCGATACGAATGAGAAAGATACGAGCGTTAAAAGAGCACAATAGGCCATCACAACCGGTAGTAAGGAATGCCTCGGGAATGCCTGAGCACAAAAAATTCATTTCAAAACACAATACCTGAAGCATACATTCCAATACGCTCGCTCGGCGCGCAAACCATGGGTGGTATGAGAGATAGAGATCTGAACACATTCAGAAAAACACCAAATCTATACACAGCTGTGGGCTTCAAAGTGCATTAGATCAGATACATAAAACGTCCCTGAACGCATCTGTTCAATCTATACCCCAAAACTTTTTGGAGTGTGCACATTTTTTCTTTCTCACAAAATATTCAATGCAGTTTCTTCCTTTGTGCACATTCTAAAGAGAATCCATGTTGTGGTTCTCCTGAAGAAACCTTTATTCTGCTGCAAAGCCTGCCATTCAAGAGACACCTGCATGGAGAACACAAAGAGTACCCACTTGCACCAACTCGCAGTAGGTAAAGACAACGCTGCGACCCACTATCTGTCTTGCTACCTCAGTCGCTGCTACTTAGAGGTTTCTGCCTATACTGCATTCCTCTCATCTCCTGTGGAAGGCTGTGCTTAACTCCGATTCCCTTTTTATCTTTTTCTTCTGACTGCGCTTGCACCGCGAGGGGGGAAGGGGAATGGAAGAAGGGAGAGAAGCTTTTCAAAGCTGCAGGGATTTACCTGTATTCACGGTTGTCCTGATATCTTTTAGTGCTGGCCACCCGCTGAGGCACGGTTTCCATGAGCAGCTTCTGGGTCAGCCTGTTGCTGGGAGTGGGGTCGCTTTCGTGGTTCTGCTCCTGTTCGCACCGCCATTCCTCGTCTTCGTTCAGAGTTGGCAAGTAGCCCGGCAGTGCTTTGCCGTTGCCTGACACCGAGTTCTGGTCGCTGAATAGTTTGGGACTCTCTCCGCCCGTCCTGGTGTATTCCAAGTATATGTCGGACTTTAAAAACAAAGGGTAGCTGTTTTCTTCCATCATAGTCTGAATTTCAGTTTGCGCCTGGTCAAACATGGCAGGATCGATGTGAAGCTTCATCACGCAGTCCTTGATGAAGCTCTTGGTGGCCGGTTTGATCTGCCTGGACACAATTCCGTTGTTATCCAAGATGTATTTTTTGTAAATGGCTTTCGCGAGTTTCAGCATCTTCTCGTTGCCTTCGTTGGCCTCCTGCTTGCGGAAGCCGCTGCAGGCGAACCAGAAGTCCAGCATGTCGGCGCAGTCCTCCTGTTTGAGGAAAGTCCTGAACAAGTGGATGCCATCTTGGTCATCTAAAAGCGAGTGCAAAGACTCTGCCCACTTCAGGTAGGGTGGTGTCGGGGAAGCGCTACCCTCAGGCTCATAGCCCAGATCCAGGTCGGGTCTTCTGGGCGTAGCTATGGAGGTCTCGTTCTTGAGGCTCTCGCTCTTAGACGAGTAAAAACTGTGGCTGTATTGCCGTCCATCTCTGGAAACCAGATCACCCTCCTCCCCAGGGACCGGGGGTCTGGGGGCATCCTCAGTGAAGCTGCCGCCCACGTCGGGCAGATAACAGGCCGTCTCGTTTACGCTCATGCTCACAGTGTTCCTGCACCCTGTCCCAGTACAGCCCACAAGGCAGAAAGTTTATATCCAGGCTTCTATTAATGCCACTGCGAAAGAATTCCTCCTATAAGAGAAGAGGGAAAGGCATGGGAAAACATTCATAAACACTTGTCACAATGATGCAGTGTAAAAACAATGTAAAACCCTGTATAAAATAGTGCTGATCAGTTCAAGAACCAAATAACTGACGCAAAGACTTCTACCTGAATGTGGGTGTAACATTTCATATCAACAAACACGAATATATAAAATGAGAGAATAACATTACAGAGAGGACAACAGTGTCACCAACAACTCAAATTGATTTCATAAAATAGTTTTCTCAGAACACTGGATTTAAGGTGATAAGTTGTGTAACACTGTAGCAGATATATCAAGCAAATCAATCATTTTTGTATCACCAATTGTCACAAGAAGCAAATCAAGCGTATTCCAACAAATTCTGCTCATTGCATATAGCATTACAAGATTAGACAAGGAGGTTAGTTTATTTTAATGTGTACTAGTTACAATGTAAACAGACAAATATGAATGAACACAACAAATTCTGCTCATTGCATATAGCATTACAAGATTAGACAAGTAAAGGAGGTTAGTTTATTTTAATGTGTACTAGTTACAATGTAAACAGACAAATATGAATGAACAACATATATTTACTATAGAGTTAGCTGCTTGCGACTATGCATAATTTACTGTTAGTACATGTAGCGTGTGACAAGGACACTGTAAAATAATTGTTACCATACAAGAATTAAACATTTTCAACTTTAAAGAGATACGAGTCAATTACATTGTAATAATAGCTCCAACGGTACACGTTTTGGGCAATTTAAAACCTGTGCATCTAGGTTTAATTAAACACTGCAGGGTTCTACAACCCCATTAAACTTACAGTGGCCTCAGGCAACTATCTTAAAGCAAAGATAGCCAAAAAAAAGGCAGCCATCGTGGCACAAACACTCACCTGTGACACACTTTATGACACCAACCATAAATCCAACACTTTCAAGTTCCGATTTTACAACCTGTGACTGCCTGCCAACTAGATTTCGTCTCATGTTCTTGATAAGCGAGCTAAGGAGGAAAGAAACCTTGAGCTTTCCTAGTCGATAACTTTACCAGCGCGAACTTCAATGGCGATGAGCTAGCAGGCTAATCCAGCACAAGATGCGAATTTATAAACATTTTACGCACACTAATGATGTAGTTTAAAAGCAAAGCCCCGCTAAACGCCCCTAGTGCTAACCTAGGGAGACTACTAGCTAGCTACAAAGCAAAACATGCCGTGATAAGATAAAAACATAAATAGAGCGAACATCAACCGCATCAAAGAGCGTAACGCGCGAGAGGAAGTAACGTTACGTGCGGCGCGACACCTTCCCGAACAAGTGAGCAAAGATGGTGATGGAAAAACACTTTCACCATCTTTGAGTGCACGGGCCGACATTTCTAGCGAGCTTGTTCTACTGATCCGACTCAACTAGTGTGAGAACACGTTGTCACAGCACGCTAGCCATCTTTAACCGCTACAAACGCCAAAATATCCGATCATCCCACTTACGCACGGGGGGAAAAAACGCGGCCATCTAAAAACGGATCGCGTTCGCTGCGTTTTTCCTTCGCTGACGGCATTACAACACCCTTTTGCTGCCCTCACGATCTGCTTTGAAGTGAGCCCCACATTCATCGCATTCAAGTCTCGGCCTCAGCAGCAGCGGATGGGGGAGGGGAAAGTAAGAAACAAACTCCATACACACACACACACACACACACACACACAGCCAGGCCCTTCCGCAGCCCAGGGACTAGTGTGCAACTTTGCAACACTGATTTTCGCACTCCAACACGCGCCGATAAACCAAGCGCGAGAGCTTTATAAGCGCGTCTCCGACCTCGCGGAGCATTCGACCGCGAGCAGCGAAAAAGCGACGGTGCATTTCATCTCTCTCTCTCTCTCTCTCACTCACACACACACACACTCTCACACACACACAGCTACCGCAAACCCCCATTACACCCAAGCCAGGAGGAGGGAAAAAAGTGTTCCGTACTGTACCTGTGAGAACCTACTTTCCGCTTTCGAGCGCATCGGGAATAGCGTTGTATGCGGCGAGATGCGAATCGTGTCATCGATGCGGATCTCGGAGTTTAAAAATAACAAAGAAAACAGTCGCTTCTCCACCTCTCCATGGCTGTCTCTCACACTCCTGTGCCCGTGTGCGAGTGAGAGAGAGGAGCAGGAGATGTGCAGCGCCGCGCACGGCCAGAAATCACACTGCCGCCTGGAGAAAGAAAAAAGGGGAGGGGGGGATGAAGGCGAGGAAACCCTGGAGTGTGTGAGGAGCGCCTTCGATTCACTTCCACTACACAGTAGATGTGCTCTCAGAAATACGTTTTGCCAATTAAACCATTTAGAGGTGAACAGCGCCTCGAGGAATATAATTAAAATGATATAGGCATGAGGAGATAAGCTAGCAGTCTTCTAGAAAAAGCTGTTTGATTCTACAATGAGCAGGTCGCCCCCTCATGGGCGCCGCCATGTTGACATCACATGACCTGCCGAGTCACATAGTTCACCCGTTGCTACTAGTACTACTTATAATATTGTTTACTTTTCACTTGATCTAAACCAAACAAGCATACCGAATAATATATAAACATACCTAGTCTGCACTATAAGAAAACAAACAAACTTGGAAGATGTACTGGTAATTTAATGCTAGGGGCGTTTATAGCCTTTCATCAGTAGAAAAAAAAGTGTGCCCATATTTTGGTACTCTTCTTTAAAAGGAACACGCCACTATTTTTGAAAAAAGGCTCATTTTCCAACTCCCCTAGAGTTAAACAGTTGAGTTTTACAGTTTTCGAATCCATTCAGCCGATCTCCGGGTCTGGCGGTAGCACTTTTAGCTGTAGCTTAGCATAGATCATTGAATCTGATTAGACCGTTAGCATCTCGCTCAAAAATGACCAAAGAGTTTCTATATTTTTCCTATTTAAAACTTGACTCTTCTATAGTTACATCGAGTACTAAGACCGACGGAAAATGAACTATACTCTCATTCCGGCGTAATAATCAAGGAACTTTGCTGCAATACCATGGGTGCAGCAGGCGCAATGATATTACGCAGCACGCTCCCTGTGCAAGCAGGTGGTCACGTTGGTTATGTTGACAGAAGTTAGCCTATTTTCAGGCGCTGCGTAATATCATTGCGCCTGCGGCACCCATGGTACGGCAGCAAAGTTCCTTGATTATGACGCCGGAATGAGAGTATAGCTCCTCGCCATATCGGCCTAGAAAATCGCAACTTTTCATTTTCAGTCGGTCTTAGTACACGATGTAACTACAGAAGAGTCAAGTTTTAAATAGGAAAAATATAGAAACTCTTTGGTCATTTTTGAGCGAGATGCTAATGGTCTAATCACATTCAATGATCTATGCTAAGCTACAGCTAAAAGTGCTACCGCCAGACCCGGAGATCGGCTGAATGGATTCGAAAACGGTAAAACTCAACTGTTTAACTCTAGGGGAGTTGGAAAATGAGCCTATTTTAAAAAATAGTGGAGTGTTTCTTTAAAGCTGCAGTCCGTAACTTTTGGCGCTCTAGCGGTTAATAAACAGAACTGTATGCGTCTTGCGGAAGAACATTGTAGCCGGAGCTACTTCTCTCTGTTATGTCTATGACGAATCACGCAGGTACTGGGCTACTCCGCAGCGGTACCTACCCAAACCAGTCTAAAATAGTCAGAATATAAACATTTATTATAGGTGTACCGTAGGGATTCTGGATAAGCCAAAAACACGGTTTGGAAAATGGATTGATGGTGTACTGGCTTATTATATACATGTTGTTAAATTTGAACACAAAAAAGTTACGGACTGCAGCTTTAAATTGTGTTTTGGATGTAAATGGATATGAATCATATTTACCTGCAGTATAATGTTGCTGCACACGCACTAAAGAGCTTCTTCATCATTGTTTCCTACAATGGTAAATATTGCTGCAAGCAATTCAGTGCATGAGTAAACTGTCCTAATGAATCAAACTGAATCTTAAACCATTTTAGACCTTTATGCAAACCTGTTTGGCCGATTCGATCAAAACAGTGGTTCATTCACAAATCTGGCATCACTTGTTCTTATTCTAAACAGCTCATAAAAAACACTGATTGCTGAAATATTATAAGAAAAAAATGATTCACAGGTCAGTGTCTTTAAATAAGCATTTATCAGTAATATTCCACTGGGGCACAGTGGCATTTAAAAAAAAGGTGTAGTGACGCCCCTGGCCAGGACAAGTTTACAGACATTTCCTTTAACCCTTAAGCAAAACACAATGCAATGCGTAATTCAAAATATGGGTAAAACACCTGCGAAAAATCAATATGGAAAATTCCTTCATATTAACACAGTAAATAGACGTTAATCAGGGTAGAGCCATATTTAATATTTGACAGGACTAAAAACGAGGCTGTGAGAAGTGCATTATGTTCAATAGATTGTACTGTTCTTTAACAACATACAAATTGTTGATGTAACATCTTTCCAAAAGACTTTAAGTACAACATTTTTTTTTAAGTTGTGAGTTTTGAAAACTACATGTGATCTAGGACCTTTATACAGGGCATTGTAAAGACTATGCAAATCTATACAATGCACCCTCTTTTTCATCCACATAAAATCTAATATGGCATCTACCCTGTCTGAAGTCTATTGGGCCCTATTTTTACTGATTTTATGTTCTTAATGAACCTATGTACTGTAGACACAATATTACAACGGTGCCTAAATCCAACAGTGTAGACTTGTGTGAAATCCACTAGTTATAAAAAATATCCAAACAAGCAATCATTCCCTGCTATAGTGATGAAACATAAGCAATGACCTCCGGCTTCCATATGCACAGACCAAGGATAAACAGCAGGTCTTCAAATTAGTGGAAATTCACAACAGTCACAGCTGCTACACTGCAAAACGTCTCCAGAACCACCAACAACATGCAACAAATTCTTGAGAGTGAATGCAAGAATGTGCATTGTATGAATGTGTGTAGTATAAGACACAAAATAAACAGCCGAAAAGGAACAAAACAAAAGATAATTAAACCGCTTTAGTGTGAAGAGGCAGCAGTTAGCAAACAAACTTCATCCAAACTGATAAGTCAGCCCAAAACCACACTGAAAGCAAACAAAACCATTCTGAGTGCACCTCTAATATCTATTTTGTAAGCATTCTGCAGATGTGTCAGTCTGTATGATTTAGTCTCAAGGACAGGCCTGTATGTATGCACAGCTGTATGCATGTTGATTAGTACAGTCAGAGTGGACTATAACCTTGAGGAAGTTATCTCAGTTTTCCATCTGCAATGTCATTGACACACATTTCATGGCTCTGCCGTGACAGCTTGGACACGCTATCTGTTTTTAATTCTTTCCAGCTATCAAGGTGCTGTAATCTAACAAAGTTTGCCAGGTAAGTGAATCCCTTCCTTGTACAGTAAGTTCATTTTGTGTGCAATATACAAATATTGTTTACACATAAAGTTCTTGTTCAAATTTCAATTAAACATATAAAAAAAACTAAAATCAAATAAAATCCCCAGCCTGAGCTTAACACAGTAAAACATGAGAAACCCGAGTATGAAAAAGCCAACTCTCTCAGTGTGACTAGAGATTAGAATCAAGGTACATTTCGCATTGTATCTGTCCATCTGACAAAAGATGAAAGCAACGTGGTAAAAGAAAGAATGCAGGAGATTTAAACACTGTTCTTTTCTTTCAGTCATGAAAAAGCATGCAGCAGGAAGTATGTATCTTTATAATCCTGCTCAAGAATGTTTTTAAAGTCTTGCAAACTTTACAGATTGGACTGGAAATACAAATATCCTCTGTCCAATTTTTAGCCTTTTGAAGGCAAGAAATATTTCATCAGAGTGTATATGGACAGGCGAACATTACACGTGAGAGTCAAAACCTCTGCAAATGATATGCAGAAGGTAATTCTGGATTTATTTATGAGTTGGATCAGTGAAGGAATTCAAGTCTTATGACTTAGAACGGGCCGTATAGTGTTAAAGGACCTGCCTTTGAAAAAATGAGCAGGCCTTAAAGATGAATATTACTTTGTATGCTCTGAACCTCTGAAGTTATGACTCAACACCTGGATATAATCAGGCATGTAATCTCATGGATTCATTGCAAAAAGATCAAAGGCCTTTGGAATGCATTTGGCCCTGTTCCTCCATTTTATGACTTTATTTGATTAGCTCATCTGAAAATGAAAGAGTGGTTTGTGTGGAACCATGAATTTAATGACATATTACAAATTGCTCATGGGAAATCAAGACTGGGTGTAGTTAAGCATTCATCTTGGAATTTGACACACCTTAACTTTCACAAAATAACATTTGTCAAGGTTTGCCAAGCCAAGATCACCAAAAATTTGCTAAGAAATTGATGACCATGCCAAATATTTTGTTAGTATACAATAAACACTGCTGTTCAAACGTTTGGGTTTGGTAGGATTTTTTTTTTTTTTTTTTGCGATTTTGAAATGAGTTTTATATGCTCACCAAGGCTGCACTTATTTGATCAAAATGCAGTTAAAACAGTAATATTGTGAAATATTATTACAATTTAACATTGCTGTTTTATATTTAAATATACGGAGCCCCGCACATGGCATGCAGGAAAAAAATGGTAGGCTAAATCGTGCGCACGAGTTACTATTTCATTCCCTCGATTTATAAATTGTGCGCACAATTTACTAATTCGTTCCCTCGATTTGCTAAGTTGTGCACACGATTTATAAATCGAGAGAACGAATTAGTAAATTGTACACATGATTTAGCAAATCGAGGGAACGAATTAGCAAATCGAGGGAACGAAATAGTAATCGTGTGCATGTTTTAGTACATCGAGGGAACGAATTAGTAAATCGTGCGCACGATTTATTTATTTTATTATCAGAAAAAAATGAATCGCATGCACGTGTGCATATACAAGTGTAAATATATATACACTTATGTATATATACTTGAACACACATTGTATGGTAATCTTTATATAAGCATTTATCAATCATATTTTTGGGGCACTGGTATTTTAAAAAGGCCAGGACAAGTTTACAGACATTTCCTTTAATTCTTAAGCAAAACACATAATGTGTCATTTGAAATACGAAATACGGGTAAAACTCCTGCGAAAAATCAATATGGAAAATTACCTTCATATTAACACAGCAAATAGACCTTTAAGAATAAAATTCTTGATAGGAATGAAAATGAGGCTGCGAGGCATAGAAGTACATTGAATTGGACTGTTGTTTAACAACATACAAATCGTTTGACTGATGAAACATCTTTACAAAAGACGTTAAGTGGACAAAAATTGTGTTTTTTTTTTAAACTTGTGAGTTTTAAAAAATTACATGTGATCTAGGACCTTTATACAGGGCATGGCACTGTGAAGACTGCGAGTCTTA